GGTATAAGTACCGGTGACACGTACGGTACCAGGGGCATTTCTGCAAAGGCCCCCGAGGGCAGAACTGAAAAATGCAGTATTTGAAAGTGGCGCCTCAATTGCAGCATGGCGCCAGTTGTCCGAAATCCTACGGTACCAAACGAGGAGTTTGGAGAAAGGGCGCCAGGCCGAAAACGAGATGCAGCTGAAACAGCAAAAAGATAGACCAGGGATCGAGCCCTGGCGAAGTCCGTAACACCCCGGCCTTGCGGCCTCCTATAACTACCTCGCTGACAAACATTTCACTCTTAGGGGCTTTAACCAACGCCGTCCAAGAAGCTAGTGGATCTGATCTAGACCACTCATGCTCTAGCTCCTCTAAGGATTCAAACACATTCATCGAACAAAGGGTCGACGGGTCTGAATGTGTTTGCGGGACGACTGAAGAGTCTGTAGCTTGGGCCATCTCTCGCGAAGGTGAGGGTGAATCCACCATCGCGACCCTAGTAGGAACAACTACTATCCCTACTGGCCCGACGTGTTTCCCGGAGCACTGCCTGAAGAACTAGCAATATTGCTACCAATGGGTTGAGAGGATCCTAACGCCGACCCCATAGTGGGCGGGATCTTCTCGGTGACCTTCCTATTGCGGCACTTGTACATGCTATGACCATATTGGCCACACTTGATACAAGCTTGCCGGGCCCACCGATCTCTCCACACGTCCTCAGATAGACTCGCTTTCTCCCATGGAGGAGCATTGGGGTCTGTTTGACTCTTCGTTCGGGATCCCCTAGGGCGTCTACCGGTCCCTTTACCTTTTTACTAGGTTACGGCGGCGACTACTCCACCCTCTGAAGTATCGCCATCCGCCTCTGCACCTACTCCCTCCTGGAAGTTGCTGTCCAACTCGATGGTTGATCCATCGTTGTCGACAAACATAATGCGACCTTTCACTTTCCAGTTGGGAGGTAGTGTCTTCTTTCTCCCTTCCGTAGTGGGTGCCTGTCCATGCCCTATCTTCGCTTCCAGGTCTAGGGCCACCTTGCTAAACGAAGGGAAGTTGTGCATATATTGATGTTGGCCTCTTTTGCCAACTGGTTCCTGAGAGGCTGTGAAAAACATCTCAGGTACGAAGTCAATAGGACCTGAGGATCATAACGTACCCTAGGGACACAGATCAAACGGCGTCGGTGGCTTCCCTTACTGACTTAAACTGCCGCGTGTGCAGTGTCAGGATTGCGTCAGTGGCCCTTTGAGCCTCCTGAGGATCATGCCACCTCTCCTCCACCATCTTCAGGAAGTCCTCCAATTTCTGGGAGGCCGCCCAAGCGCGGAAGTCATGACCATATCCCTGAAGTTGCACTAGACCGCTCAACCATCTTGCTGCACTACCCTCAAGGTAAGACACAGCCACAAGCACTTCTTCGTGCGGCAAGGTGAGTTTGCACCTGACGTAGATCGGCACGGCCCTCAACCATGTGTCGAGGTCCTCGCCTCTCTTATCCCCTGTAAAAGGTTTGGGAGCGGCGATGGCCGTCTTTGGAACCCACTGTGTCTGTCCCGGTCCCTGCATCATTCCAGGCTGTGGACCCGGTGAAACAGGTTGCTGTGCTAGCTGCTGGGGCTGTGTGCCCTGAAGCTGCACTGGCTGCGAGACAGCAGGCTGCGTGGTGATTGCAACCTGTGACGGACTTGGAGTAAACACTGTCTGAACAGGAACCTGTAAACTACTCCCTGCTGTTACCCCTCCTGACAGCGGCATGCCCAGGGAAACTATGGCAACCGTTGACGGGGCTACATATGGGGATACCCCAGTCACCGGTGGGACAAAGAAGGGAGGATATGGCACGGGCCAGGCACTAGGCCCTGCTGGAGATGGTGTTGCCTGAGCACGGCCTGCCAAAACGGCAAGGCTCTGTTGGATGTCATGGAGGATGGTAGTTTGGTGCTCCTGCATTTCTATAACGCCTAGCAGGGCCCTCCTAACTACTCTCACATTATCATCCATAGTGGTCAGGTCCATCCTTTCTAACTCCTCTATGTCTGCCCCTCTTCGTTGCATCCTGGTTCTCCTTCTAATCATCATTTCCTTCTTTCTCTTTATCTGTCCTAATGCCTGCTGTAACTGTGCCTCTTGCAGGGCTGCCTGCTGGATGGCGACATCCTCAGGGGACAACACCGCAGGCTGGCTTGCCATTAAGCCAGTGGACTGACTCACGGTCTGTGCGACCGTGGACCCGGCGGTACCTGAGCTACCGGCTTGAGAAGTCTGCTGAGCAGACGTGCTCATGGCTGTTGTAGCCATGGCTGCTGTAGCACCAGCCTCACCAATTAAGGTTCTGCTGGCCTCGGCTGCTCTAGCTCTCCTCTCCCTCTGCCGGCGGAACAGTTCCCTATCACCCTCCGGTCCTAGGGACATGTGAGTTAACGGGCCTCTGGCAGATCGCAGGATCCTGCGGTCGTCCTCTCCGGTGTCCTCCGCGTCGCTCATAGGCTACAGCACTGTGCACTGTCCACACTAGATCATTCTAGATGCCTACCGCAGCATAGTACACAGACCAACTATTTAGTGGTGGCTATTTTCGGGACAGATCTCATTTGGGGTCAACAGGTAAGTCAGATTCCTACTGTCAATACTATTTTTAGTAAGATTAGTTCGCAAACAGAGTAAGCATCAGGAATAGATAATATTCTTAACTAATGCTGTCTGTCAGATGTCACATGGCTGTCCATCTAACTAATCAAAAAAAAAAATAATGTTGACCGACTGGGTCTGTTCATAGCATGGAATTAAAACCCGAACTTATGACCTGGAACTTGCCCCTCCCTTTGTTCTTCTCAAGGTCACGGTGTCACGTTTCTTCGCATTGGAAGCCAAGTGTGTCTCAAAGGTGTGCAATCCGGTCCCACCCCTGTGCCCCGGGTTATTGTCGAGCAAGGCAGCCACAGCACTCTTATTTACCCTCGTACGCCGACGAGCCTTCCACTCGGATGATCTGGCTGATCAAGAGGCAATTTAACKTCCGCCCCCAAGTGACATCAGGAATTATTTTACGTCGCAGCAGGACGACGATCACAGCCAGATCAGAGCCGAGTCCCCAGCCAGAAATGTTTATAGACGGTCTGGTTAGCGTCTGTAGAGGCTGCCACATTCGAGTTAACCCCTATCATGCGCAAGCAGCAGAACCAAAGACTTGAGATGCTCCACGTGAACAATCACGACTCTCAAGGTTGAGCGCACACGACACCTCACGATGAGAGGACTCTCAAGACAGAACTCACAACCTCACGGTAAGAAGTGATGAAGAGGGTAGACAAGGTTAAGACCAACGTACCTCGTTCATGCTGCCCCCAGCCACGGAGATAATCTCACCAGATGACCTGAAGATGATTGCGATGACCAGTCACAGCATCGGCACAACCAGCATTTCGCGGTTCCACCTCAGCCTCAATCACCCAACAGATAGTTCTCATCACACTGCGAACACCCAATATTTACACCACAGCCTTCCAGGCGATGCCCCTCACCACCTGGGTCGCCTTTACACTCGTCTCCACCCTCCTCACTACACACCACTTACGGCCAAACTTTCCCAGCAGACCGCATGTATGTACCGTATAAGGCAGAAGACAAGCGCCAGATGAGCGCAATCGTACCACAGCTCCGATACCAAATTGCAAGGAGGATGAGCATTAGTGAACTTCAGCAATCAAACAGCATCATACATATGAGCCCAGATAGTCTTGACCTCGAACCACAGCAGACTTGCATCACGAGATACACCAAATAAGAACACACCAAGAGTTCAAAATTGACAATTCTGAAGTAGTCCCATCATCATCAACTACGAACCAGAGTTGATATCCTATTGGCGCTCGGCGCCCAGACTACATGTGGCAGATCCTATCTAGCCTATACTACGAAGCAGAATGATGACATCAACAGCGTTCCCGAAGTACGAGCATATGGCGACCAATGTCGCACGCTTCAGCACCAGGTATGTCTCTCGTAACACTCACAACCCCGATCCACACCGCACAGATGCCACTAGCACC